CATCGCTACCCCTCCCCCCCTCTCTAATGCCCCCGCAGTGAAAGTAGTTATGATCTGTCTGCGTTTGTTCGTTTTCCCGGTGCTTGTTGTGTCGTTTCGGTTGATGGAGGGGGGGGGATCTGTAGAACCACACCCGCACTCACACATTTTTTTTTTGTCGGGGGTACGTGTGGGAAATAGCTTGGCCGGTTTAACCCCGGCGGCGACTACACCCCGGCCTAGAGCGAACACTAAGTATGATAGAAAATCTGCTGACTAATTGTTGTGTTCTGTCTTGTTGGTGATGTTCGATCTTACCGTTATCAGTAGACTCAGTGTGTGTGCTATGCAGCAGTACGTTGTTTTGCTCAGCAGCATCGTGTGCCGAGCGGTAGCGATGGACCCTCATTCTCTTCTTTTCTGGATGGAGCCCTTTGCGTTTCTAATATTTATACCAAGGAGTATGTTCTTTGACCGGTTCACCCCTTTCCCGGTCGGTTGTAGAATTGTTTTTCGTAAGCGTAGTCTAGAAGCTGATATCAAACCATTTAGAAGAAAAGATCTGTATTGATATTCAAGTTCTTGTAGTCAGCAGTTTGATCTCGCATGCTCGACTCAACATCGCGGATTTGTGTACAGCATAGGAATTGTTGGCCTGTAACCACGGAAGGCGTCCGCTTCAGTTGGACCGGTGCGGATTCCACCGTCCTACAGCAGAGCAGTAGTACCCACGGCTCGTGTAATAACAGGTTATGGTTCCAGAATAAATCGCGTCCGCTCATTGGGAGAGGCTGCACAGCAGTTCCGAGGGACGAATGCTGACTTGGCTTCAATCTAGAAGTTTTGCTGCTGTGTGGTCGGTTTTGGAACAACCTCATGGCTACCATTCCAGTGCTTCACTCTCGCGTAGCGGGAGACCGAGGCACAAAGGTACTGCTGCTGTGCGCCGCGGCTCCCGCCCAACCTAGCCGCGGTCGGCGCATGAGTGTATATATTTCAGTCTCACTGGGGGTACGTGCGATCGAAGAAATACAATCCGCGGTGCACAGCAGTTGGCTCTAGAACACACACATGATCAGAACCATCAGCTGTCAGCCAGCGAACACTCTCCTAGTCTCTTTATCTTCTCTCCCCACCCCTTTCCAACAGAGACCATGGTGACAATCGAGCTCACACCCGGCCACGGCTTGCCCATGGCAGTAGCCATCTGCAGCGTTTTCGTGACCGCGTGGCCTGGGTTTGGCGTGGGCATGGCCAGGAAGAAGTGAGTCCTGCCTCTCTCTGCCGAAGTACGGCAGGAACACGCAGCCATGATCTACAGCGGCTTGTTTAGTTG